CCAAAAAATCCGTACAACTTAATGACTAATAGCAAAAACAGAAAGTACTTAACAAACAGACTTCCACAAAAACTAACCCAGTTGGAAATCTTTTTATTATTAACATTTTGTTTTACTGCATTATGGTTGGAGAATATAGCCTATGATTTTTTTCTTGTAGGAATTGAGATTTTTCACTGGTACACCACAGAATTTATGCCATCTCTGCAGAAGTGATCTTCACGTGATGGGCTGCTTTACTGTACAATTAAAATTTCCTAAACTGTGTTAAATCCCATTTTATATATTCTCCTCCCTACCTTAATGTGGCAAATTCAGAGAAAAGCATATTAAGTTTCCATTTATAATCTTTTTTTTAATTATTATCATGGTTCACATTTTCCTTATACTTCTAATAGCTACTGATTTAGATATGGGATGCAATGACAGTGGCATACAGCCAACAAATATCACCTATCTTTCCTAGATGACCCTGTTACACTATTTCTGCCTCTAATCTCTCCTTCTTCCTCCTTCTCAGCTAAACCTCACTCTTAGTTACCCAAGAAAACATTCCTTCTCTGCTCCTTCCTTCCTTCCTTCTCTCTCTCTCTCTCTCTCTCTCTCTCTCTGAGGCAGGGTTTCACTATGTAGTTCAGGCTGCCTTCAACTTTCTGTGTAGCCCAGGCTGGCCTCAAACTCACGCTGACCCTCCTGCCTCGGCCTCCCCAGTGCTAGGGTCACAGGGTACACGTCCACGCCCAGCACAAGAGTATTTCTGCAAGCTCTTAACACCAACCATATCTGCCTATACACATGTAGACCCTATTTCAGGAATCTGGATGTGAAAGGAAGCCGCGCTTTTCTGAGGCAATGGGAAAGATTAGTAATTTCATACTAATGTTGGAAGGCCATAAATAAAAAGGTAGAAGACACGTCTACATCTTGGAATAACCAACACTGAGAATCTAGAAAGAGTGAAAGGGATGTGATTAGTGTCAGCAGTGGAGGAACTGACAAGTCTGGCGCTGGGCACGAGTGGACCCAAGAGCAGAGGCTCCATTACTGGGGCTCAGGAAGAGTTCTTCTCTGATAGTTTATTTCTTTGTGGAATGGGAAAACACCAGTGGGGGGCTGAGAGTCACGTAGGAGCCAGAGATCTGAAGCACGAAGAGGTTTGGAGTGGTCATCATGGAGAGTGGAAGAATGACCTCACTAGAGAAACCAGGTGGGACTGGCAAGTCAAGCTCTGAGCAGTACTGGGACTCATGGTCAGGGATCCACAGGAGTACAAATCTGTTCAGCATGGGAACTGACTCCAGGAGCATCAGCAGCCCAAATACAGGCATTAGGAAAGACAAACACCTGATGCACCCAGCATGAATAATTTACCTCAGGAGTAAAAAAAAGAACAGGGTAAAGAATATTAGGGTATGGACAAAAGATTGCTGAAATAAGAACATGACTCTAAACTACATATATAAGAAGGTGAAAGGGCCATTGCTAATATATATATGGAAAGTAAGCCAACTATCTATAGACTGTAGGTCCACATGGAGATAAAGAACACTAGCAGCAGACTTTGGGGCTGGACTACAAATATGGAGGGACACTGGCATGGAATTTCTGATATGGTATTTGAAAAATCTGGTAATTTCAAAAGATGGCAATATCTATGGCATTACCATAGAAAGTGGTGGCATAAGTAACATTAAGACATTGGATTGTTTAAAAAAAAAAAAAAAAAAAAAAAAAAAACAATGACACAACACAGTGTAACAGTGAGTCTTGAGACAGAGAGAACATAAAGTGCCAGAGGCACCAAGGAGTGAGGAGAGGAACCAGACAAACTGATGAAGGCAGATGGAGGGAATACCACTCGTACATGGGACCAAAGAGCTGAAGGTGCAGCAGATGCAGAGTATGCAGGGATACACTGCTTATCTCATGGCAGGGAACTTGGGGGATGACTCAGTCTTCACTGAATGGGCTCAAACTCCATACCAAGTTTCAGTTAAGGCCTGGAGAAAAAGAAATCATCCACTGAAGGCACCGAACCCACAGGGCCATTTGCACATCCAAGAATGGGAGTTAGGTAAGGCAAAAATGAAAACGTGCATGACGGAAATGCAAAAGACCAGGACACAGGAGAGGTGAGAGGTGCTGACTTTCTAAGACTCCAGGAAGGTGATGAAATCTCAGGTTTCAAATACTGGAGGCAGCTTTTTTTTTTTAAAGGTGGCCTTTGGAGTCACTGTTCTGGGTTCAGGTTGCCAGTGCAGTTCTGCTTTCCTGTTCCCAAAAGGAAGGTGGGTAGTTGGGGTGCAGGCTGTGGTGAGGCATGGAGAATGAAGGAAGGCAAGCCACACAGTGTGGGTCCTGCACTGGGGTCTCGGCGACCTCAGATGACGATGGCAGGTTTGCCACTGCTGCAGTCAGCTGCTGGACGCAGTACTGCTAATGGGAAGTCTGGTGCTGATTCCCATTCCGTGTAGACCATGTAATTTGACATGTCTGTCAAACTGTGGAAGGCTAGGTGTGCGTCTCCTCCCTCAACAGTCCTGCATGGCACTTTTCAATCTCAAGACCCAAGTCTTTCTTTAGTCTAGGTGAGCTTTTTCAAAACTATCCTTTCTTTGATGGAAACAAAAGACTATATATATGCAAGTTTCCTACATGTTCTCACTTAAATTCCATCAGTCTCTTTCTGTTTGACTTCTAGCTTTCCAGTGCACTGTTTTAGTTTGTTGCCAATTGTGTCAGTTCTGTCATTCCATGTTCTTACTAAGTGTGTGATTTTTCTTTCTTTCTTTCTTTTTTTTGGCTGGCTCAGCTCTCTCTGAACATGGGGCTGGTGCAGCACGTGGTGCTGGGAATCGATCGGTGGTCCCCTGCGCCTGCCTAAGCTTGCCTTAGCAGTTGCTTTAGACTGCTAAGCTAGCTCACTGGCCCCAGTGTGTGATTTCTTAAGATCAAGTTCATGTCAAGAACTTTGCTTCTGGGGCTGGGGAGATAGCTTAATAGAATAAGTGCATCCCTGGCAAGCGCAAGGGCCTGAGTTCAATCCCTGGTTCCGCCAAAAAAAAAAAAAAAAAAAAAAAGAACTCTGCTTCCACCCATTCACTTATTGATCAACTACCATGCACCACGTATCTCTGTATTTTACTGGTCCAGCATCCCTTATAACTCAAACTTAAGAAAAAAATAAGATCTCTTCTGATTTTTTTTAATTAATATGGATAATAATTGTATTTATTTTACAGGGTTGTCAGTGTGCATTAAATAATACAAATACAGGGGCCAGGGAGATGGCTCAATAGAATAAGCGCTTCCCTGGCAAGCACAAGGGCCTGCGTTCAATCCCTGGTTCCGCAAAATAAATAAATAAATAATACAAATACACACAGCATACATTCCTATGCCTGACTCATAGTAATCTTCAATAAATGTTCATTCTAACATTATAATGATACTAATAATAATATGCTTGTACGCCACGCCTTGCTCATATCTTCTTCACTCTGTATTCATAGTGCTTGTTTGCTAACCTAGTAATGGAATATCACATTTATCGCTACTATTATGTTAGATTCAATTCCCCACTCATCTTGTCCAAAGATTTTAAAATTCTAGTTTCTTTTCATCAAACGTGTTTATTATCCCTGTCAGTTTCTTGGCACCCACAGCCTTCACAGGTAGGAACCCCACTTCTTTAAGTACAATTATACTGATAAAAATGTTGAAGAGCGTACATGCCCTCTGGCGTACATCCCCGCTAATCCTCAGCTACCTCAGGCATGCACAGGCACCTCCCAAAGCGACTCCTCTGTGCATGAGTGGCCTGCGGCTAACACGAGAGATGGCAGGGTGCTATGACAGATCCTGACACAATGCCACCACTGTCTACTGTGTGTCCTTTTCCTAGGGAGCCTACACTAATGTGAATATATTCATGTTCTAATGATTTTTCTCTTAGCAGATTTCAGAATCACTCCTGGCACATACATTAAGCGCAGAGATCTGGGGTATTATTTCTACTTTAAAAATTAGAAAGATGCAGGGAAGCCCGTTCTTAGCTTTCTGGGAATGGCCCTTCTCTAGCTTACTTCAAGGAGCTGAGGGTCACTAATCTCAAATGTTTGCATATATTTTTTTAGAGAAGACTGGCTTCAGTAATAAGTGGAGGCACTTTTCCAATTTCTTCTTCCATACAGGGCATTCTGCTGCATTCTAGCTTACAAAAACATCCCTCCAACAGTATCTGCCTGGCAGTCACAAGGTCCTGAGTTCAACTCCCAGCACAAAAAAAATAAACCAAAAAAACCTCCATAAACCACTGGGTACAAAGCAATGGTTCAAGTGATGGACTCTTCAAACTTTTATTTCATTCTGATCCAAGAAGTAATTAAAATCAACCAACTCAAGATTTTTTAACTTTCAGGGTTCTTTTGTTATTAGTGTTATCCCTTTTAATGCACATTTAAATCACAAATAATACTTACTAATTTCTCTTTGTTTAATCAGGTATGCACCTACTATTCTTCCTGCTGCCTTTGTTCTGCGCTGCACTGCAGATGGAGCCCAGGCCTTGCCACGCGCTAGGCAAGCACTCCACCACCAAGTTCCATCCCTAGTCCATTCCTGTTTGCTTTAAAACCTAATGCAACAGAGTGTTAGCTACACTAGCTGGAGGTGGGATGGAATGGATACAAAAACTAGACATTCTGCAATAAGTAAGTTTAGGGGCCGGGGAGATGGCTCAATAAGCGCTTCCCCGGCAAACACAAGGGCCTGAGTTCAATCCCCAGTTCCGCCAAAAAATAAAAAAATAAAAAAAGGTAAGTTTACATGAAGTACTGAACAATAAACATGCTTCCCAGCTTCTTAGAGTACTGGCCATACTGTCTACCCTAAATATTTATTAAAAAAATTAAAACCTTTCATAGACTACATGAGACATTAAAAACACTACATAAGATTTAAGAAATTCTGAGTATTTTGCATGTCACATTTCCAATTACCTTGAAGCATGCATCTGTACGCAGATTCAGATATAGCATAGATGTGTGGAGGCATCTCATGACGTTTCTTCCCTCTGTACATTTCGATGATATTCTCAGAGTAAATTGGGAGGTTCTTATAAGGATTTATGACTACACAGAAGAGTCCAGAATAAGTCTAGAATAAAATATAAAATACAATATTAAAAAACAAACAACAGCCCTGCACTTTTTTTTTTTGTGGCGGAACTGGGGGTTGAACTCAGGCCCTTGCGCTTGCCAGGCAAGCATTTATTCTACTGCGCCATCTCCTGGGCCCCAATAACCCTGCATTTATCAGTCAGGGTGCAAACAGGATACAGTTATACCATTACATTTTAAACAGCTCTTCATCCTTTGGATAATTAATGTAGTCCCCAAATTAAACTTAGCCCATAAAGCCAACTTCCGACTCTGAACCACAAATAGTTCCCCCAGTGTTTCTTACAGGGCACTTTTCTGGATTCAATTTCCTCACCTTTAAAATAGAAATAATGTGGGCTTCGTGACGTCAACAGACTACTAAGGCTCGAACCATGCATTATGTGCCTTTTCAGATTTATTTCTCATAAGTACAGGAGTAACAGAAAGCTCATTAACACAGTTTCAGATCCCACTGCAGTTCATCTGGTCAAGTCTGGGTACAGTATCAAAAGAATAGCCAAAAACAATAGCTGAAAAAACTATTAAAATTCTCCTCTCTTTTTCAAACAATTATCTGTGTAAGGCAAGGTTAGGTTTTTTTTCCAAATAGTTTAGCCAAAATAGTTTTTTTTACAACAAATTAAATGCAGAAGCATAGATGAGATTCTATCTACCTTTTAAGATAGCTAAGAAATTTACAAAAATGTTCTGTTTTAGCTCTGATGTTACAAAAACATGTTTAAATAAATATAAATACAATTATGTAGGCTGATTTGTTACAACTTGCTATTATTTTAAAATAAGATACCAAATATGTAAAGCATTGTTTTAATTTCTAACATGATAAACACTGATAAACACAAACCACATACACTAAAGCTCTTTGAGGTCCTCAGTAACTTTTCGGAGCAGCTGGTCTAGAAGACACACACCTCTCCTTACAAGTACTGCAGCACAACTGACGCTATGAACATTTATGACTTTTATTTTAAATTTTTTTTTATTTTAACATTTATTGTGTGTGTGTGTGTGTGTGTGTGTGTGTGTGTGTGTGTGTGTGGCCAGCTCAGCCCACCAGGGGGCGGG